TCCCGAAAGCTTGGCCCGGCCCGGCCCGAGGGGCAGGGGCCCGAATCACGAATCCCGAATCACGTTTCTGCATCCCCGTTGAAATTCAGGGCGTGGGGTTGAGACAGTCATTTTGTAGTAAAAACCACTTTTTGGCTCTACAAAATGATACTATCTACAAAATGGGGGGGTTAAAAAAATTCGACAAACCCAAAAAAAACCTACAAAATGCATTGCTCAAGGTCACTGTATGTCATTATGTAGAAACGTGAAAACACGGAAAAAATCTACAAAATGATGGGCCCACCCTGGGAATTAAAAAACAAAATCATTATGTAGAGTCTGTTAGTGAGTCTGTTGTCTCCTTATTCTCTACTAGATGAGTCTGTTTGTCTACAAAATGATCAAGTAGAATCATCGGCCTTTGTTTACAAAATGATCGCGCTCTTTTTCTCCACCAGTCTGATCACGTTTGTCTTTCCCTGATTTTCAGGTGGCGTGTCGCGCAAACGTGCCGATCTCCTTCACCAAATGAAGGAGGGCCGTGCGCACTGGCGGATCCCTCAAAAGCTGGCTTTCCGCTGTCCTAAACAGCTTTTCCAGCGCTTCCCCGTAAGCCACATTGCCACGAAGGTTGTGGTACCTGCAAACGTATGTGATGCATTTCCCAGTCTTGTATAGTATTGTTAGATCAATTTGTTTGTCCGCTTGGTGTCTTTAAATTGCATTTTTTATACTACAACAATAATCTTTCACCCACCATTTTGTAGAGGTCCTCATTTTGCAGATTTTTACTACAAAATGATGCACGATGACCGTCACAACCCCACGCCCTAAATTTCAACAGGGGTCCTTCTCAAAATATTCATATATATATATATTCTGAATTATTCTGATATGAAATGATATGATCTTATATGAAATCACTTCAGATTATGTCAAGATGCATGGCGCTCAAGGCTTGCGGTGCACACTTCAGCAGCGTATCCCACGTGAGGTTTTTGACAACTTCGAAAGCCATCCTGCATTTGCCATTCACATCGAAGATGGGTGACTCCTGGTAGATGTCATTGTGAATCTCCAGCAAACGCTCCAACTGGATTCGGATGGCTGCTTCTCCTGATGCGGTTCTCTTGTAGTCCGCAGCCACCGGGTTCTTGAGATCTGCTGCCGGTTTCTGGGCACCGTTCTTCTTGTCCTTCGACTTCAGGAGCTTATTTCCTGCACTAGTGTCCTTGCCCTTCTCCTCTCGCAAGCCGCGAGAAGCAAATTTGCGACTGCGATTTGTGTCTTTAGCCGCAGCCTTTGCTTGCCCTCGTGTCATGGTGGCACCAACTTCCCACACGTTGACTTTTGGAGCATTCACCAAGGCTTCGGCGCTCTCTGGGGTCAAGAAAAACTTCATGTCCCCATCGTTGCTCCATGGCTCAACGCCTCAGAGCAAGATGAAATGAAAGACCCACGAAACACACGTCTATCCTTTCAGTCATTTTTCAATACTTGTTTATCCTATGTTCCTTTTCCATCCTATTCCTTTTCTTTTCTATCTGGTCCTTCGCGTCTATTCTGTATATATATATATATAACTTTGACATACTTTGACTAATACAATTGGTCGCATTTAGTGGTATTTATTTTGTAGACTGGAATGACCATTTTGTCGACTAGATAGACCCTTTTGATATATTTTGATCCATTTTGTAGTGAAATGCTGCTGAAATGCATCTCTCGCAATCCAAAATGTTCACAAGCCCTTCCAATCGCACACTCCATACGTTCGACTTGCAGTTGCACTTCCATTCAATTGGAGGGTACTTTTCCATGTCAACGATCTCCAACGTGATCACTCTGAAAGCCAAGCAGGAGCTCACAGGTGTTTCACCGGCGTTCAACTTGGGGGCCTTGACACCCTTGAAGACACTAATGATCATCCCAAGCTCGAGCGAGGACTTCGTGGATGGAGTCATGAACATCACGATGTTGCCAGGCCTGAGATGGATGTGCGTAAATAATCATAATTATATATAATTTTTGAATCCTCATGCATACTAGCAGATACATAGATCTACATAGCATGTTCATGCACGTTCAATGACCATCTTGCAGCGCGGAATAAACATAATAAACTAGAAAAGAGATGAAAAAAATGTTCTTATGTTTCATGGCCAAGAGTCATCAGCCTCTCTGGTGGGGATTCTGGAAGCTGCATATCCTTTTGTGCCTGAGCTACAAGGCCCTTCCAACGGTCCAACCGGCTTGCTCTTGTCTGGTAGGCAGGCTCATTTTTTCTCCGCTTCCAGTTCAGCGAGCTTCCTCTCGTTGTACCTTGGCAATATATATGCATATCATTGCATAATGAGAATGGATGAGATGCAAATGGAATTGACTTATCCAATAGAGTTTTATCATGTTTGATCATGTTTTATCTACAAAATGCATCGAACTGCCTCATAACACTTCTACAAAATGAAGACGTCTTATAAAACACTCACACCAGCTTGGGAACTGATGCCAGTTTAGGTTGGTGGAAGCCCTCCTGCAACTGCGCGCGTTCTGGATCAGCCCTGTGTCAATCCCACCTTTGGTGCTCCTCAGCTTGAGGTTCAGCCGGAACAGGTGGTTGAACAAATCCCCCTGGTCGCGCATGGCAAGCGCAGCCCGCAACGTTGTAGGAAGGAGGTTGTCTTTCTCTGGATTTTTTTGGGCTGCGCGAGCATTCGGATCGGAACGGCTCCAAGGAAGCCGGCTTCTCCATGAGCTGTCGAAGTTGATCGCTGTCAGGGATATTTGAAAAGCCTGCCTCAAAGCTATCAGCAGGCTGTGCATCAGCTGCAGCTTCCTTGCTCGTGGCCACCTCCTCATCTGCAAGCAACTTTTGCTCATCCTGCAGCTGCTTCAGGAAGGCAAGGCAATCCACAGTCTCTTCCAAATTATCTGCGGTCTCCTCCTCTTCCTGAATATCCTCTGGCGCATCCCAAAAACATTCGGCACTGCTGCAGGCTGTGAAGTACTTCTGTTTCACATCCTGGACTGGCAGACCGGAGCACTCTGAAGCCAAACGCAAAGAGCTTGTCAGAGCATTCTGGCAAATTCTATCAAACCTGGGATGAGTTCCACTCCAGAGTTGAAAAACAGACTCCAAGCAAGCATCACAGAAACACTACAAAATGACACCAAAATGATACAAAATGGATCAATCTAACCATACAGCAGTATCTTTATTCATTTTGTAGAGGCAAGCAACTCTGTGTCTGACAAAGGCTTCTCAGAACGCTGGCGCCTGGGTTTGGCCAGATCTAGCAGCTTGGAAGTCTTCAAGTCCTGTCTTGCAGCGGCTGCGCAAAAGGATCGAGCTGTCATTTGCCCTGAGACAAACTGGCCGCGTAAATGCCCAAAGTATTGCTCTATTGAGATTTCTGAGAGCCTGCCGTTTCCTGCTTCCCAGGCAGAGAAAGCCACTGGCTTCGTAAGAGTGATCACTGCTCCTGGCATGCTTGGTTGAACAACTTGATGGTTAAACATTGTTATGTTAAACATGGTCAAACGGCAAACGGAACTCAACAATTAACAAAAGCAAACAATGGTACAGAGAAAAATAGAAACATGGTTCTCCTGATAGGGCACAGGCTTGGAGAATGGTGCATGTCTGTGGCGCCGCAAACAAGCTGCCTGTCGGGAGCCTGCGCGCTTCGCATAGTTCCCTGGCCAAAATCTTGAATATGTCTAGAAGCAGGAAGCCAGTGATGCAGTTCTCACATCGGTCTGCAAGGTCAAGGTCACGATGAAGGATACCACACAAGCAAAGCGCAAGCACAGTGGTATGAATGGTAAAGCCCCTGAGGCTCCAGTGGACATTCATGCTGGAGAAAGTAGGGCTGTCCTGGACATTCTGGCTGATAGGTCTGCTTTGGCAAAACATAATAAGATACAATTTAGATAAATTATATATATAATGTATTTTAATTCATATATACATATATTAAATAAAACTCTTATGAACAACATGTGTAAACTCTTATGATTTATTTAGTTCGTGAAAATCAAAAAAAGGACGAGCTGATTATGCATTGGATAGAAGGAAATGGATGCAAGAGCGCAATACACACTTAACAAAGACAAGCTGCTGGGTCTTCCACTGTGAAATATGGGTTGCAAAGCAGTGCATTCATTTTGTCGCTCATTGGAGAAGATCTGGAGTATGCCTGTGGAGGGCAACCGTACTTGAGCGTTTGTGTTGCGTCTGCAAAGTGAATGCCATAGTGGATGACACGGAGAACGGAGTTCAATTGTCCATTGAAGTTCTTTCCTGCGTGACCTGGCCGCATTGCTGCTTCATAAAAAACAAGAACCTCTATAAAATGATACGTTTAGGGGTCAGGATGCATTTTGTAGTGGTCAGGATACATTTTGTAGTGATGGCCTGGCAAAAAGAGCAATATATAACTAGAAATATAAAAATATTAAAAAGTATTCTAAAAAAGAAAATCAGTATATAGATAAGCGACATGCCCCTGGCACGCACCAAAAGACCTCATCTTTGTGATAGCAGATCTTGATGGGTAACCGAGGGAGGCAGTTGTGCGGCAAAGAGTAGTGCTTCAGTTCACTGAAGAAGGGGATTTCCTTCAACTCAGTCATGTCAATGTCTTCAAAGGTTCCATGGATGCATCTTCGGATAAACTCATGTGAGCCGTGCGCATCGAATGTCAACCCCTTGACAACTGAGCCACTGTTTGCTAGAACCTTTCCCACAATGTTCAGCATAGTCCAGCAGCCCCGGTGCACTGCATGCACACCTTTCAAAGTGTACTCCATTGGAATCATGCACACTGACAAAGGAAGCTTGTCCTTTCCACATGGGTCCCACACAAGAAACTCCAGCATGGTTTGAGCTCGAGGAACAGCCTTTACGTCCAACCCTTCCCTGTCCATGTCAATGAAGGCATGCTCCTCTTGCTCCGGCATGTATGCCCCTCCAATGAGGCCTCTGGTTCCATGAAGGGTTGCCTGGCCAAGGCGCTGTGTCAAATATGTGGCATCGAATGCCATCATCAGCCTACCTCAGCCAGTCAAGGTGAAAATTGATTGACCAAGTCACATTTTGTAGGGATGGTTGTACCATTTTCATCCATTTTGTAGAGAACTGTAACAGTATGAAACAGAAATTTAAAAGAGAACAATAAATAGTGTTAAATATAGTCAACACATGAATAAATTTTAATAAAGATAAACAGCTATCAACAGCTACACTGAAATTAATACCATGAAATACAATGAAATACCATGAAATACCAAGCTTCGAGATGTGTCTGCTTCATGCATGGGATAGCGCTGATTCAGCAACTTAAAGTTCTCTGAAAGAACCTCCGGCCACAGGATGGACACCGCTGGCATCGGCAGGGACATCTTGGACAGGTCGTCCAACAAAACACGGCCAGCCAAGCCTGAGAAGCCAAACCTTGTTGGACAATGTTGGGCGCTAGGCTCAAAAAAAGCTTGAGGATTGGATATCACTACAAAATGATTTAGATGTCACTACAAAATGATTTCGACCACTACAAAATGATTTGGACCAAATAAAAATGACAAAAAAACTTATATGTTTAAATGGGTGTATGTATATATATATATGTAAATGATTTGTAAATGCAATTCCTGTAAACTGATTAGCAGTAGATGGATGTTAATGAATTTGAATATGGATATGGATGAGTATGGATTGAACATGGATGAATATGGCGCTTAGTAGCTGCTTGGCCAACTGCTTGTTTCCACCTGCTAGTGATAGGGACAGTCCAGCGTCAGCAATCAAATCTGCCTCCATCTGAGATTCCGTTGACCGGCGCCCTGCCATGGTGGTGATGCCCCGTTTCTCCTTGTCGATTCTCCTCAGGCATTGCAAAGTGATGCCATGAAGGAGGGGGGTGATTCTCCAGATCTCCTTTCAAGATGGCGCTTGCCATCTTCATGGTCCCTATCGTTGACTCGCCAGACTCGCCAGAGGCTATGCAAGCAGTCAGGCGACCAATGAC